CCCCAAAACCCCAAAACCCCAAAACCCCAAAACCCCATTATTAATCTTCTACAATGACTTTATAAATAATTTGTTAAGTTTTATAATGGAGAGGAGTAAATCAGAGTCAAGCGAGGATCTAAAGCAAAGCCAGTCCTCTAGCAGCCCTTCAAAGGAGAAGAGCAGTAAGAATAAGTCAGGTAAGCCTTCCAGGAAGTCCTCTGCCAATATAAGCTCATATTCTCACAAAGATGCATCCAGCTCTAATGGTAAGACCTCAAATTCTTATCTGGATAATATTTCTGAAAGTTAGCCTGGAATAATTTCGACCAGCTTAAATATCTCATTTTGGATTAATTTTAGCAAAGGTAGAAAATAGGGTTCTGAAGATAAGGTTTCAGATAATTTTTATATTTTTCATATTTTTAAGAATTATAATCACTTGCTTATCGCTAGATAGAGTCCATGAAGGACTCACTCAGGAATTCATTATGCATTAGATAATCGACTGGCCCTTTTAGGGGTCTCAAACTTACCACTATCAGCTTCAACTTTTAGTTAGATTATAATCTCTGTTGAGATGATCACCCATTTTTCATATTTAAGCAGAACTTCGGTTCCGGATGCTGCATAATATCCTTGCTTATAGACGATAAGCACCAGAGTAATGAAGAAGAGGATGAGTATAAGTACTCTAACGGTACGAATTTATTCAAAAGCACAACTCTGAATGGCTTCTCCAAGCTCTCCCCTGATTATATATGAAATATTCAGATGCTAATCTAATGCTCATGATTATGAAGCCTATTCCATTCATTTGGGTCCTTATCATTAGCTTTATCCTATCTGAAATCCAAGTTGCCCAATTGGCTTCTTCAAAAGCATGAATAAAATGAAATAATCATATTCTTTTCTTCTCCCGTTTGAAGCCTAGCATGGGCTTGTTTGGATGATTATATTTCAATCACCAATTCAGCTAATCTATGCGATTACAAAATGAAATACCCATTACTTAAATCCTTGAAATCAAGCTTTTAGGCAATGATACCTGATTGCTAATTTTTTTATAAATATTTTCACTTTTCTTCTTCTAATTTTTGAATGATTTTTATTAACTTTTCATGCTAATACAACAGCTTACTTATAGATTCCATTCAGGAAAATAAGGATCAGAGTCCACCCAGAAAAGCACGGATGCGTAGACGTCAGAGGGTTAATTATCAGGAGAACGGTATGGCTCTCAATTTTTTTCTACAGATTTCGTGATAATTGCACCTTCTCTAGTTTGAAAATTTCTGAAGCTGAAAAAATCCAACTAATTTTTTATGAATTATCGTGAGTAATGATAACAATAGACGAACATCACCATTTCGACAACATGCATTCAACCAATGAGTCTGAAAAGTACAGGCATGTGTACTGTAAGAACCATGATTCAGAGAAAAAGGAGCCAGTCAAGGTGCTTATCTCCTTCCAGGCAAAATTCTTAATGAACATCCATGCTCACCTCTTTGAAAATGAAATCATTGGCTTTACTGGTGGATATGTCATTGATGACAAGGCAGGAAACTCTAAATAAAGATTCAGGTAAAAACTCACTGAAACAATAGAATAAGCCTAAAATTTTGCCAAAAGTTTAGAAACTAAGCCATTTTTATAAGACCATTGCTGGATTATACCAGAGATTATCGAACTCGGCTTTATAAACGATATGATTATTGTATAGAATCGATATTGTGAATCCATGACTGATTCCCCTGAGAAGCTCTCCAATGAGATGGATCAGTTGATCGGACAAAAACAGTCGATTTAGATCCAGAATCTGCTAACCAAGAGTACGAAAAAGCATCAGAAATGAGTCAAGAACTTCTTGGTTGGTACCATAGCCATCCTAGGTTCATTGTGGAGCCATCTGTGATAGATGTAAATAACCAGAGACTATATCAAAAGCAATGGAACAAAGGGAATAAACCATTTGTAGGGTTTATTGTGGGAACTTACAACAAAGATATTAAAACCGCAATAAGTTTGAACAAATGATTCCATTTACCAAAGAATATGTAATTTCTCCCATGACTGTATAGAGAACACCCTTACAACATTGAGCCTTCACTAATCCCTCAAAAATACATAGACAGCCATATCCTCAAATAGGGCTGAAGAGCTCCTAAACCACCCTGAACTCGACTTGAGCCTCCATAAACAATGGAAGGGTTCTATCACCAAACTCCAGCGCTTCAAGAGCTGTCTCATCGCTCTCACCCGCGAAAACACCACCGAAGACCCCTCGGTCCTCTTCCCTTACCTAAAACACCTCTCATTACCCACAAAAATCCCTCCTTCAGAATCAGACACCCATCTCGCCCTCATCAAGCAAGTCTACGGCCAAGATCCCAACCTTGAATTCCCAGATTCCTTCCTGACCAAAATCCATGCTGACCAGGCTGCCAAAATTCCAGTCGCTGACTTCCTCACTCAGATTTTGGCTAAGATAGATGCGATCCTTGAGAAGAGACTTAACCTTGGAGCTAAATATCAACAAATAGCTATAGTCCCTATGACTCCTCTAAGCAGCATTGAAGAAGGCAGCGAAGACAGTGAAGACAAAGCTAATATCCAAGTGAGCCTAAAATGGGACAAAAACAACAAGGCTGAAAACACTGAAAAGAAGACTAAAAAGGGTACCAAAGCCTACAAAGGCAAGAAAGCCTTCAAACCCAAGAAGAAAGAGACTCCTTCTTCAGAAAAGAAGGAGCCCAGGGACCTTAAAGGTAAGCTATCTTCCCAAAACTCGAAGTTCAATCACCCCAACTGGGCTCTTAGCGGAGATAATTATGTAATAGAGGAGTCGAAAGAAGAAACAAAAGAGGAGAAAAAGGAAAAGAAGGATAAAAGCAAAAGTAAATCTAAAAGTAAAAAGCCTTTAAGCAGACAAGGTAAAAATCGATTTATGAGTTGAGCTAAAATATTTCTAATAAACATGAGGAAGCAGTTGGAAAACTATTTGAAATATTGAGAACTGTATTAATTAGAAGTCTTAAATTTCTTTATTTATCATTACACAACAAAACAAGGATATTTACAATATTAGACTAAATTCTGTTGCCTAAAGCTTACCCACATTTAAGATTAAATAAACTCTTAAAATGTCTGCAAGTTAAATCGGAGAAATATTTTGTAGAGAAAATAACTGAAATAAAGGATAAGCCCATATCAAAAACTAAAAGCTACATTGCAAAATCTCCTTGAAAATATTTACTAAAATTAACAGAATATCACAATTTTAACAACAACATCAACAAATTTTTAATTTTACTTCCAAATCTGAAATTTTATATTTTCGAAAACCTCAAAATACTCCTGGCTACCTCATTCTCTCCAAGCATCCTTACAATCCCTATAGACACCTCTAAAGTTCCTCCTCTCAACCAGATTTCCCAAATGCTCCCTCACACACCCCAAATCCAGGCCAATCCCGCTCTCAACACTCAACTGTTCCTTCTCAAACTTCAGCAATTCCAGCATTATCAAAATCTCCAAAAGGCTCAAGCTCAAAATGCTCAAAATGTTCAAAATGTTCAGAATGGTCAGAATGGCACCCCAACTCTAAGCACTCCTTTCATGAACAACCGGCAGCCGCCTACATCAATTCCTGATTTCCTTCGTCGAAACATCCTGGCTACTCTAAGCCCACCTACACCACAGATTCCGTCTGCGTCTAACAAAACAATCCAAGAAATCCTCCAAAGGATCCACCACCACAAAGTCAAGCTCCTCGGCGTAAAAGAACGTCAAAAGAAGTGTTACGAAGATGCCCTCTCAAATATGTGAAGTCTGATTCTGATGTACAAGAATTTAGTGGAGGCAAGAAGGGATAAGCAGTTCTGCTCCTGCCATAAGGATCAAAAATAATTAATTGAGTGTGAGTGGAGGAGGGGTTAATATTGGGTATTTTTAAGCGAATTCTGAGAGGTTTGGGATGAGGGAATCTTGTTTTTAAGGGGGTTTTATTGGAGTTTTTGGTTATTTTTGGCAAAGTAGAGTGTTTAGGGTGATTTAGAGGGGATACTTTGTACAAATATTGATGAAGATAGTTGAGAATATTGTAGTATTGATGCTCTGGTTTTGGAAGTCCATCTTTGATAGATTTGGAGACCATGTTGGAAGAATTTATTCAATTAGGTTAGGAGCTTGAGGGGTTTTGGGGTTTTGGGGTTTTGGGGTTTTGGGG